GATTCTCTTCCTTCCCTTGAACTGATTTGAAGGTCATAATTTTGTTCTGTTTAGTATGTGTACTTTATACATGCGGTGTTTTGTCTGAATGATTCTCTCTTCCTTTAAACTGATTGGAAGGTCGTAATTTTGTTCTGTTTAGTATGTGTACTTTATACGTGCGGTGTTTTGTCTGAATGATTCTCTCTTCCTTCCACTGATTGGAAGGTCGTAATTTTGTTCTGTTTAGTATGTGTACTTTATACATGCGGTGTTTGTCTGGATGATTCTCTTCCTTCCCTTGAACTGATTTGAAGGTCGTAATTTTGTTCTGTTTAGTATGTGTACTTTATACGTGCGGTATTTTTGTCTGAATGATTCTCTTCCCTTGAACTGATTTGAAGGTCGTAATATTATGTTCTGTTTACTGAGTGTACGTGCAGTATTTCGTTTAGTAAGGTGTGTTGGTATGTAGAGTACAGTTATATTATTAACATAGGGTATGTTATATGCTTGTAGTGTAGTATTCTCTGTGTGTGGGCGGATTATGTGTAGACGTTATGTGTTGTGCTCAGTACGTTGTAGTAAATGTGTCATATATATGTACTACGGTATTTAATTTGGCGCAATGTACACGTGGTTTGAAGTGTTTGTTTAATAAGTAGTATGGATGTGTATATATAAGTGTGGTTTTGGTTATTTATGAATAAGCGTTGTTTTTGATGATGAATTTGTTGAGATTAATTGGCCAAGTAGTTGCTGGTCTTCTAACCTTGATAGAGCTGTTGACATTTATGTAGTGAGGTGAAGATATGGAATATGCTGTGATTAAGCACAGTATGAAAATTGTACTCTATATAAATAGTTGTGTGTATACATTCGTATATGATTGTATGTGTTAATGCGTGATGTCGAACTTTGAAGAATGAGCAACAATGGAATGTAAGATATGTAAATTGGATAAAAGAACAGCCAAACTTCGCTCTCTCTTGATGTTTCTTATTTCAAACAATAGGCCAAACTATCCCTGCAGCTAAACAAGTGCTCCCCTTGTAACCTTTATAAATTTACAGGAAACATATATCTCTCTTAAAACTCACACTTGGATATAATACATATTTGAAATATATAGGTTATATATATAGGCCATAGAGATTTGCCAGCTAAACACCTCTTTGACAGATTGTTAAGATTACATTAGATCCCGTGTAGATCTAATGGAATAAAGTCCGCCCTGGACTGAAGAGGGCCTTTAGCCCGAAACCATGGTCTCCAGGTGGACGCTTCTCAGTTTGCCAAAGCTGGTGTTGTGGCTTTGTCGCCGATCCGAGGCCGTTAGTTTGCGGTGACGGTCAATAGATGGCGTCTAGTTTTGAAGTCTATTTTGACGGCGACCTGTGCTTTTACAGATCAATTTCCTCCCGGCAAAAAAAAAAAAAATCCATCTCTATAAATATAGAAATAATAGCCTCATTATAATATACTTGAGTATATATTAGAGTATATGTGTAGAAAATTATAATTAACGGGATTTTTTTAAAATAATTCCACAGACTCTTGTAAATGGCGTTGCACGTTTAACCTACTCTAGCGACATACCTGTATGCCGTGGCACTAAGAGCTCGAAAGAAGCATAATTTCCAATAAAAAACAAAATATGGTTTACTTCCTATATGGGGTGTTTCCTTGTTAGATAACCTATGACATCTTGCAACTATCAAATTCAAAACATCACTTCTAAGTGATTCATATTAATCATATCAGCTAAAGTGTTCTCGGCTTGCGGTGTACCAGAAGAAAACTTAGTTAATAAAGAAATGATATTATTCACGTGTGTTTTCAATATCTACCTCATATTATTTAGAATACTTTACTGGGGATAAGACTTTCCACTTCCTTAAGTCCATGAGCGTATTTTATACAAAATCATGTGTATATAATTAGAAACTAGAATTCAAGATGAAGAGTCGGTGGACGAGTGGGTAACACCCTCGATTCCCAACAGCCATGAACTGGGATTGAATCCCGCGTTAACATTTTGTTTAATATGTGAATAACCTTTACACACACACACGCCTTTATTAAGACATTCCATCTTATACAGACGATTCTCCTGTTAGAAATGAATCTAAAAAAGAAATGAGAAGCAGGGGAAGAAATTGAATCCTCGCTCAGAAAAGAGAAAAAGAAGAAAATGAAAGAATATGTATCTAAAAAAGTTGAGACTATATGTGAATAATCATTACATATTATTAATTGTTGCAAATATCATAAACTAGGTTGCTCTTTTTGAGCGGTACCTAATAAAGTGATTTTGGAACAAGGATTCAAGAAATCCTTCCCCTCAGGAAGGTGACAGCGAGTCACCGAAACGATGGGAACAAATTACTCAAGAGAATGGTTAATGAAGTTCTACTCTTTTTTGAACTAAAAAATAAAATATCCAAACAAGAGTTTTAACTTAGCTCCAAAATTCATCACCTAAATACAAAATCTGATTTTAAAAGAGCTTAGAGGTATTGGGAAAAGGATATAAATTCTTGTATGCCTCAGGTAATTAAATAAAATATATATTTAATGATGGTAATTAAGTTTGAACAAAGTTTCAATAACGCAGACGACAGAATCGTGCGTAGTTAAACAACATGGGGGTGACCCAGTTCCAGACGACTCCATATTAAAATTAGACTGAAAAACTGCTGAGTTCGAACTGTGTGTGTTGACTAGAACTCTTTCAACACGACTGAAATAGATGTGATTTTTTTGTAAACTACTTCATAGATATCCTCCAATGGTAAAAATATGCTATTCTAAGAGATATAACAAAATTATAACAATATAAACAAAGAGACTGTGTAATTAGGTACAATCGAGGAGGCTCCCAACGACGAAGAGTCCTCCCCTATTTTTCCAAACGGAATTCCTACGCCGTTCCATCCAAATTTTATAACCACCCAATTTGTCACATCACACAGAAAATTCCAGAAATACTAACATAAAAGAGGTCTATCAGAAACACAAAATCGTTCAATACGCCTTATCTACGACTGTCCGAACTTTGTAGAAGTGAGACATCGATTGTTCCCTGATCTAAATGGTTTAACTCTCTTACAATTTTATGAACTCTGTCGATTAATACATTTAAATTTGTAAATATTTAATTCTAAGTCCTAATTTGTTTGTTTCCTCTGTAATAGGCCTAAATATTTCAATATCGCGCCTAGTTGATATATATATATATATACTAGCCGAATGACCCGGGCAACGCCCGGGTTTTACCCGATTAAATGTTTTTATTCAAATACTATTCGTTACAATTATAAATTGGCGGCGTGGATGTCACTCTTGTGAAACGTCCCGCTCCAAACTTTGCGATATTTTTATAGAAAGATGATCTGGCTTTTGTTTTCTGCTCGAATGAATGTTTTTCTGTTAGAATTTTGTTCCTGCGTACAAAATAATGAGCTGGTTTCACCCGTGGTCTCTGCTTTATGGAATTTTTCCCGATATAATTTTGTATCTGATAATCTTACATGATACAGCAATATCGTCATCATCATTTTCTGACTAATAATATATAGTTTTAATAATTCATTTATATATTTTTTAAAATAGCCTATCGTCTTCCCCGTATTTTTTTTTACCTATGTATGGAAATTTTGGTTTGAATTAGTGAACTACTGCGAATTTGTATACCGGACATACAAACCAACAAACAAACAAACACACAAACATACAAACATTCATTTTTATATATATAGAAGATATTATAAAGGACTGCGGCATATGATTATAAAACAACACTTAAAGTTGCACCGCACAAGTTTCTTTTCTGTGAAAAATCAATATTTATTTCAAAGAGAAATATTTACTATTTCTAACTTTTTTGGATGAAGTATGAAAGGGTGAAAATATGAAGAGTAATGGCGAACGGAAAAATAAATTCCCGCCCCTGGACACTTTTATTTTTCCGTTCGCCATTACTCTTCATATTTTCACCCTTTCATACTTCATCCAAAAAAGTTAGAAATAGTAAATATTTCTCTTTGAAATAAATATTGATTTTTCACAGAAAAGAAACTTGTGCGGTGCAACTTTGAGTGTTGTTATATAGAAGATATAATATAAATGAGTTTTAAAAATTGTTTAAAAAAATGCATCGGCCGGGAATCGAACCCTGGCCGCCCGCATGGCAGGCGAGCATTCTACCACTGAACCACCGATGCTTTAAAAAAAATGGCCATATTTAGGTATTCATTCCATTCCGGATTAGTCCGCGTAAAAAAAAAGTTCTTTAAATGAAAAAAAGAAATAGCCAAAAATACTAATCAAAATGCAGCCGACAATTTTCCTCAGGTTTATAAAAGCGATATGCAAAATTTGGTACCAATTGGTTCAGTGGTTTTTGAGTTTATCGCGAAACAGACAGACAGACAGAAATTGACTTTTATATATATAGAGATATATATATATATACTAGCGGATGTGTACCCGGCTTCGCCCGGGTTTTATCCGAGTGAAAGTTTGCCTAACGAATATTATATATTATGAAGTATAATAAACAATGCTAAAGATTAGTTTTAATTATTAATCAAGATTGTGTGTGAATATGTGAGAAAGATGTAATATCGTTGTTGTTTTCTTGGCCGACTGTTTTACATATGGTGTTATCTTAAAATTGCTTGTTTTGAATATTTTTTTAGATTGAGTTGAATGAATTGCTGATTTTTTTTTTTGTATTTATATATAAATAAAATTAACTCTGTTGAATTTTTTTGTATTTTATCGATAACAGCAAAGTTATGTATTTTAAAGTTAGGAAAAATATTTTGATGTTAAGCAAAACCTGCTCCATCTCGTTTTACATAAATGTTGAAAATTTGGTCGAAATTGATGCATTGTAACGAAAGTTTTTAGCGAACACCACTTATGAAATTTCCATTTATATAGAAGACTAATGAAATTTGCATTTTATTAATATAGATATAATATAAATGAGTTTTAAAAATTGTTTAAAAAAATGCATCGGCCGGGAATCGACCCCTGGCCGCCCGCGTGGCAGGCGAGCATTCTACCACTGAACCACCGATGCTTTAAAAAAATCAAATTCATTTATCGTCGCGACCAGTGCTGCGCCCTAGCGGTAAAAGACTGGAACTAACGCTTTTTGGTTTTTTAATTTTTTTAAAAAAGCACATTAACTTTTTTAGTTTTTTGAATAGCCTATATGTTAAACGAAATCTTCAGCTACCTACATGCGAAATTCCATAATGATTGAGTCAGTAGATTTTGCGTGATGCGATAACAAACATCGATTTCGCATTTCATTATATAAGGAAGGAAGGATATATATATAAATAGTTGTTTAGTTTTATAGTTTAGTTTTGTATTAAAATTATCTTTATTACTTTGATTATTTAAATTCAAATTATAAAATTTGTAAATTGTTATTATTTAATAGAGAGAGAGAAAAAAAAATTATTTACTTCTTACACATCATCCATATATATTTATAATTAATAACAATAAAATTTAACAACGTAACGTCTTTTGCAATCGGCTGTTACACGTCATTTAGACATACTCTAATTTGTATATAGAATAATAGAAGTGAGAATATATTTAATAGTATAAATTTTAGTAGTTATAGAGAGAAAAGAGAGAAAGACAGAACCATGCACTTTTATTCAAACTAATAATAAGAAAAAAAAAGTTTTGTAAAGAAGGTAGATAAGATTGTTAGTATATATATATATATATTTTTATAATTTTATATTTTATCCTTTTTTTTATGATTTTTTAAATTTTTTTATTTTAAAATATGAATATATCTAGTTGTATTTAGTAATATATCTATAATATGAATTAACTTTTGTTATAAGTTTGGTTATTATGTTTTGAAACCCTAATGGTAGACCAGACATATACAAAAAAAAATTAAATTGAAATAATTAGTGGAAAAAGAGATCTGCTGGACCGGAGATTTTCAAATAGAAATCCAGCTGACATTTCACTCCTGCTCTATTATGCCATAGATCTCTTTTCAACCGGATTCTATGTGTTAATATTAAGTTGTTTTAGTGAAACATTTATATATAAAGATTTAACAACTACAAGTGTTAAGAAATTCTAACTGTAACCTACCTCTTCTGTGACGCCTTCCTCTGTAAACAGCTATTTCTGGTTAACATCTGTTGCGGGGGGGGGGGGGGGGGGACACATGTTCGTCCCTTCCAAATTAGAATGCTTTCTCAGAAATTTCAGATTAATAAGACAACTGAAGAAGAAAGAAAATAGTTAAGGGAAGAAAGCCAATCTTTATAATCTTTACAGTTAGTTATATTAATATAACTGATTCAATTATTATTTATCTTTTAATTTTCCTTTAAAAAGGTAAATTATTAGATGATTAATAAAGCTATTGATTTTGAAAATTCATTATTATTTAATTTCCATTTTCCTCCCCAGAAATTGGAGATTAAATAAAATGAATTCTATACAATATTACTTTAAAAATCTTGTGAAAATTTTTCAAATTAGTTATATAATTTAAGTTTAATTAACTGTTAAAGATTATAAATTTGTATTAGTTATTATTGAGAGAAATTATAGAAAGTTGATTTAATAAATGGATACTTCCATTTATTTTTTTAAAAGTATTTTATAATTGATATACTGTTGAAATATTTTACTTGTTTAATACTAAATTTGTTTTTAATAAATTCCATTTTTAAATTTTTAACATCTTCTATGAAATTTTTTAATATATTATTTATTCTATAAAATCTTAGAAACTGACCAAAATATATACCTTTGCAGCAATTTAATGATATATTAGAATTTATATTACAGTATTTTATAATATTGAAATTATAATTACTTTTTTTATTATAAATTTTAATAGCATTATCTGTAAGGTTTATATTTAGGTCTAAAAAGTTAACTTTTTTGTTTCTATTAATTTTTTCATTGTTCTTAAGTTTCAAGTATTTAGGATATATTTCAGGTATTATGTTTTTAAATTGTGGGTTATTAAATATAATGATGTCATCTACAAAACGGAACATTTGCCAATTAACATTATTTTGTAGAAAGTATTCTCTTTAGAGAGTCCTCCAGACTCATGAATTTACTTCACCTCAAAGATCGAGAACAACAACCTGTATATGAACGTCTTGGCTAACGTGAGGATGGTTAGTGCATCGTCATCCAATTCTTGCCTGAAGTCGGATGGCCACCGCTGGACGAAAGAGAGCTATAGCGATAGCTTCTGTCAGAAATCCCATAAGAATTTCCTGAAGTCAATCGGAATAACGTATTCTATTCCTCTACTGTATACGCTGTGGTAGACTCAGCAGCCATAGAGGCCCGAAGTTTAAGCTGGCATAGAATGTTTTTTAATTCCCCCGTTTTCTCTGCCGATTCTCTCATAATTCCAGCTCCACTACTAAGAGCAAGAATCTGAATCAAGCATTGGAACCCTGTAAGTGCATATTCAAATATTTCTACACATGAAGACATTTAATAGATTATACTACAGGTAATCTGTACCCCATTTTGTTTATCATAGCACGCTGCTACGTTTTCTTTCTTTGAATATGTACAAAATGCTATACTATGCTTTTAAAAGAGTTTAGAAGTAGTGATGAATATCATAGTGATATAATATAATGAAAAGGCAACTTTTGATCAACAGTCGGTTGATATTTTTTCTATAGATGATAGTAAGTCCTCAGCAACATTCAGTTGCAAATGCGTTGCTTATAATAACTGAACGAAACCTACGGTGTGATTAATTCTATATACAGGGAAAGACATTATAGAATGAGATAGGATTATTCAAATTATTTCTTTGATATTCTAAGATTAATATGCTAAGCTCTCTGATGTCAGGAAAGATTTGTAGATGAGAATACATAGCTCGAAGCCGTCCCTAAATGTTTGTCATAGAATTGTTATTCGATTATTCTTCTTGATTAGCATGACGACTGCATGCATCTTTTTGTTTGTATCTCTTAATCTCACGTTAGATTAGATCCCCTCTTTCTGAATCTTCTTGGATATTTTTCTAGGAAGAAGAACTTAACGAGAGTCTTTGATTCAATATTATTTAAACGACGACAAATTGATTACGATAAATTGCGAAAGTTTGGCGCGACTTCAAAGGGAAACAAACATCCGGGGTATAAGATAAAAATTGAAGATAGCACACAAACCTGGATTTGCAATCCTTCCTTTTCTTTAACCCCACACTCTGCGATCATGGCATCCTTAAGCTTGCTTTTTCACGTTCATGATGGTTCCATCCATACTTCTAACTTCTCCAGAAGACACTTTCTTCATAACTTTAGAAATGTAGACCTTTACTTTCCACCAAGATCGATTTTGTGTCCAAATATTTTAATATTTTGAGCAAAAATCAAACTTTTTTAAAAATTATTATTATCCCTAGTACACGTGGTACAGGCCATGATAATCATGGTGGGTAGAAGTTGGCGACTGCTTTTACTGTAAGTGCACCACATATCTACACATGTGAAAAGCAGTTCGACTTTTGCACTTACAAATATGCCAGAACTCCGTTTGGTTACTTGCACACGCTGTTGGGATTGGACTTTTTGAAGAATCGGGGGCCATTGAAGTATTTTTTTTTTTTTTTTTTTAGAAATCATACTAAATGTTCTCTCTATCTTTCCAATTTCGTTGTATATGTATCGCCTAATTTTTATTTTTCAGTCCATAGTCAATTTGAAATAACCGGTTTATACTATACCATATCAATCAGGACACCACCACATAAACAGAACATTCGATCAAATCTTATTGGATTATATACATTCTACAGTGTCATCGAGAGAAAGAGAGGTTGTTTTGTCCCACAGCCACGCAATGAATACACTTTTCTAAATCTAATATTTACAAAAACAAACTTTATTCTTTGTTATATTTGAATTCAGAAATGCGGGTTAAAAACCAACGCTAATTTCTTAACCAACTCTACTTACATCATCGGAAAGTAAAAGCCAAGTTGAGTAATTTGGTTGTTGTTGTTAAACGCCAATTAGGTCTACTGCCCGACCATTGTGTCAAATGTCGCCATCATTATCCCATTTATGGAAGTACTTTAAACACAGGGGAAATAAAATATAGTAAACAGTTAGCGTTTTGACATATATTCTCCTCTTTATTCTGACAAAAGTTACTTTTACGGGTTAACACACAAAGTGCAATTTACTAGAGCCTAAAGTAAAAGTAAATTAACACACAGAAAAGCGTACACTCAAGAGAATACAACAAAAAAAACGTAAATAAAAATTCACGATTTGTTATATATAAAAAACAGTACTTATCTTTTATTGCAGCGTTGATAGGGAATGGATTGGGGTGTTACACAGGTATGTCAGGAGACCACCAAACATGGATACAGAGAACGCTCTCAACGTCTCCACACCACTAACTCCTGGGAAAGCGTCCTCGCATACCTATGGTTCCCCCTTATATACAAACATGGCCACATTTTTCCAATGACGTGAGAGATCGGTTCACATAACAAACAAACAACATTCTTCCCTCCAAACATTGAGAAGCTTAAAACTGTTAATGTTTGTCAAAATAATTCGACAATTCGAACAAAAAATTCCATCCGATCTATTTCTGTCTCGGTATTCCATGCTTGCATTGTGGCGCGCACGTGTTTAAAATAAAGCGGCACAGGTCCCGGAGCAATAGTTGAGTGGGTCACCAGGATGATCTATAGCCTTTTTAATTGTCTAAGGCACTTAGGAGTAGGTTTCTTAGCGATGTAAAAATAAATTATTACAACTTATATTTTACTTGACAAATACGAACGGTTCTAGGACTTTTATCATAATGATAATAATAATTATTATATATTAGTTGCACATTATTGTTATATTACTAGCCTACACCATCAAGGGTCACAACTTGATACCCTAATATGATTGAGTGGAGATAAGAAAGAAAAAGACTAGCCTATTTATAAGTCCCCCCCCCCCCCTAATCAACATATGAATTGTTCGCTAAGATTCTTGAGTATGAAATTATTCTTAACACTATTTTATAAATATATAG